GGAAAAATCAATTAACAAACGGAGACGTAACAATACCTTTGAACCAACAAAATATTAATACCAGCATTAGCATGATTTAAGAAAATATGAATATAGCAAATATAGTGTGGTTGGAATACTATTATTATTATTATACACTCTTCTAATTCTTGAAAATCCTAATGGCAGATATAATTTATTACAAGTTGGCATAACTAATACTCACCGATAGGCCTAAGTTCATAGTAAATGATATGATACGACAATTTCACTTACTTGCTAACTTCTCTCATGTACGTATGACACTTTTTCATGTCTAATACTTTGTTGAAAAACAAACTCACTATTCTCAAAACTGCAGAAACAGATGACTAACAAACTTGCTAACTCAATAATTAATCCACCACTGTAAAAACTTACTAAATCAAAAACTGATTTCACTGACTAGCTAATCAATCAACTATCTTCTCATCTTACTTAACTCACATTTCATATAATTTAAAGGAAATTCCAATCTCTAATAAAGCTGTTCAAAGTTAGTCTAATGTCATATTTGTGCTTGTGTGATGTATATTCTCAATATGCATTCTTCCTCAATGTCAACTACCCAAATGTCATGTCGTGTAGAGAAGTTTTCCACCATGAAGGTGATTTCTAACTTAACTTTCCACATTCTGGAACTTTATTACCATTTGTTGTTCATATCCATCTGTCCACTGAAGGTAGCTTCTTACCTTTAATTACCAGACTGGATCAAACAATGGTAGCTGTTGAACCAGTATCAATCAACATGTTGCAAGATTTCCCATCAATGAATCTGTTGACTCATGGAATCATTTCTTTCAATAACACACTTCCTATCTTAATTGGACCAGTTGGATATTTTCTTCCTCAGGACATTGTCCATTAGGTTTAATATCAATGACTTATTCATCACGGTCTTGAATGTTCATGTTTTCCACACTTAGTTATTTACCTGCCACTTTAATTGATTGACTAGGCAGCTTTTGTTTTTCTTCAAGATGTACACCTACTTTGCTTTAGTGTAATTTGCACATTCTCACCCCCTATCACACCTATGAATGTGTTGCATACCGACAAATCCATCATTTCGAGTGAAGCATCTGGATAAGATAATTGGTTAAGTTTTCTCTAAATCTTCAGCAAGTTCTCATCCTTTCTCTACTTTGCATCAGGAACTTCCATCTGATGTAACACTCCCAATCTGTTTGATAAGGCAGCCAAAGTACCTGTTATTGTTATGGCTCTTTGTAGGAAGTCTACTTAATGTTTATAAACTTGCTAGGTTCTGTAACTTGATGAAGCCCAGTCCTGTTTTCACATGTGAAAAATCAGTAGTGGTGGGAGTTATAAACCAGATGTTTTGTTTTTTCACATCAGTATGTACATTTTCTATCTTATCTTCCATTGAACTGATCAGGATTCAAAATTCTTCTGTATGTCTAATATCTAGTTCTTGTAATTCCCCTCATAAAAATTCTTTCTTCTTGATTTTCTTTTAATTTTCTGTCTCTTTCTCCTTGATCTTGTTTCCACTATTTAATCATTTCCAATAAATTTTCAATCTTGTCTAGGGCATGTGTCATCATATTCATGTTAGGTCTTGACGTTTACCACAATAACCCTATTTTTGATAACAATGTTGTAATGGTTTCTATTATTGGGTAAGTTATTCTCAATTAGTTGGTAAAAAGAAGGACACAAAGTCCAGTCCCCTCAGTGATAATGAATGTACATTATTTCTTCAACTACAAGTACTATAAGTTGGCTTAACTAATGTTTGCTGATAGGCTTAAGTTTAGAATAGACAATAAAGTACAACAATTTCACTAACTTGCTAACCTCTCTCATATATACAACATTTTCTCATATCTCTAGTACTTCAGAAAACACAAACTCAATCCACCACTATAACAAACTCACTAAATCAAAAATAAATGACTTCACTGACAAATTAATAAATCACTTATCTCTTCTAGCCTTGCCTAACTTGTATTTTGTTATTCAAATAGTCCCCTCAACTTTAAAGGAACTTCCAGACATTGAGTCAGGTGCTAGTCATATGTCACTGAAAACTCCCTCTAGCCAAAAAATAACAACATGAATGACTAAATTAAAAACCTAACCTACAATATGGTCTTCCTCGTTTATTTTACATATTATAATCAAATCCTCAATATTTCACCACTGCAAATTGCATGGTTTCAGTTTTGTCAAAAATGTTCAGTGAAAATATATTTTAATATCATTAATCTTAGCATTTAAAAATATTATTACATATATAGTCATGCAGAGCTTCTGTAGTCTCTCCCTAAACAAATTAAATAGAAACACTTTAACTTGCAAGTTGTGTATCCTTAATGAAATATCAATGAACAAAAACATGGTGTATTTTACTCCCAGCATCTGGACAAACTAAACAGATTAGGACATACATATATATATATACAGTAGACAACATTAAGGACACCCTTCCAACTGCATCCAAGTTCCCTCCATAGCAAGGTGCCCTTAATATAAAAAATGAGCTACATAAAGCTGGATTCCATATTAAATATACTAAATTTCTGAATTTTAAGGACCCCCCATTTTGTTTGGTGTATGCAGGACACAGGTTTTTGTGAAATGCACATTGCCATGACATGGAACACTGTCAACAGGTCTGAGGGGGTGAATTAGCTATGCTCTTTTTTCTTTATTATTGGTCATAAAGTTTCAAAGTGTACTTCTCTTCAGAGTTTGAACTGCTAAACATTTCACATTTATTTTCTGTGTTTATTTTACTGTCAACATCTAAAGTAGAAATCTGCTGAAAATAAAGCAACAAATCACCACTTGTGTCATTAGACTGTTTATGTGACAGAGTAATACAATACTCTCGAGAGCAAAAAAGCACGCACACAGAAATAAGTAGACTTGGCCCACACTCCAAAAACATGATGTGGAATTTATCAGCTTATGTATCTTACAGCATTTGCAACAAGAATTCCCCAGAGTAATAAGATTGCACTTTGAATCTGTAAAATATTTATTACAGTATATGTTTCAGAGCTGAGCCAATAAACGTTGCAAGTGTTTGAATATGGATCATCCTTCTGGGATGTTTGGAATTTAGCAGTATACTGTACAGGCATACAAAGGTAACTGCCTGCTTTACCGAGTGCCCGTATAGAAAATGAGACTAAAAACACTGCCCTCAATATGAAATTTCAAGGTGCCCATTATTGCAATACCTATTTTGGTTACAAATAGTAGAAGAAAAAAAAAGAGAGAGACTGACAAGGTCTGCCCTTAACGGCACAGTTCCCTGTTGTGTGGAGGTATCCATTAATCAAAGTTCTACTATATGTAGATTTTGGAATTCTCTTTGTTTCTTATATACAATTTTTCAGGTACTAACAACTACCATATGATCTTTTTACATGTAATGTTTGTCACCCAAGAGATATTTCTATTTCAGTTACTATATTACACCGATTTTATTAAAATGTCTGATCATTGTTGAGGTTTAACATTAGATAAAGATTGGTTACAAATCTAAACCCCTTCAGTTACCATATGAAGCTTTGCATTCAGATGACTTTTTTTTTTCCTTTTTACCTATATTTCTGAAGGTTGTTTTATGAAACTGATAGAAAAAATAATTTTTCTGATTTATAATTTTAGAAAAATCAACCTTCCAGATTTACATATCATTGCACTCCTTTCTCAGCTTTTATTGGAAGTGTTTTCTTTATCAGGTGTAAACCATTATTTTGCAAAAGTCTGTGTATGTATATGCTTATAACTGGCAAGCTGCCAGACTGATTATCACCGAATCTGGCATATATACCCTTAAGATCCCATGCAGAAGGACATAGGGGTCAAAGTTTGGATCCCCCACAGGGGCCTCTTGTTTCCCAACTGTTAAATGGTACATCAGCTAGTAGTCTATAATTAGTGGTGCAGTAAAAAAAGTTACAGGACAATCATATTTCTTGGAAGAAATTGTTTAATCGAATGAAATATATTTCCATGGGTATAAAATTTTTCTTAAATCCATTTTGAGAACATTTCAAGCTTAGTCCATACGAGTCTTCAGTTCTTTGACAGTAACTTTGTCTTTCTCTCTGTAATAAAGATACATACATCAAAAATATTTCAACATACAGTGTAAAGCACTAAAATTAAACCTTCCAAGTTTTGAACAAGAGCAGGAATACACGTAAACATTATAGACATTTTCGATGACAAGGAACCCACTTTGAGACTAATAATGGCTGGAGACGGCTCGAATGGGTAACGAAGAAAAACTTTAATATAAGTTTTTCTTCATTACCCATTCAAGCCTTCTCCAGCCATTATTAAAGACATTTGAAATTATTCATCAAATGTAAAGAAGATAAAAACTAAACTTTCAAAATCATACTCAGTTAGAAGACACAATGTACTGACATGCCACTTTTGAACTTACAGTACCAGGATTTCCAATCCTTGGTTAAAAATAATTTTCCATGACATATCAGATAATATTTGTAACACTTTATAGCATTACAATCACCCCTCATATCTATCCTATCCTCACACCTTTTCGGTATTTTCTAAAATTTTGTTTAATTAACTACATTTTAATTTCGTTAGTTGTTCAATGAAATGAATAGCTGTAATTAAATCAGATAATACATTTCATGAAGTCACAGTATTCTATGACATTTCAAGAACATTTATGTTTCTCTCCATTTTCCATGACTTTTTCAGGCCTGAAAATTAACTTTGAAAATGTTTTTCAGGATGTGTGGGAATCTGGACATACATAAAACAAACAAATGAAAAACCAAAAACACCTTAGTATCTTACTATAAATGAAGTAAAAAATTTCTAAGAAAGTAAAATGTTAAATTCTATCTTACATTACCATTTCACGATTTTAAAATATAAAAGTATCAGTAAGTATTGCTCCATTTTAACCTTTTAAATATTTTATTTCAATGCAACCTCACTAAACACATTCAATTACTAAGAAAGTAACATTAATTTGATACGAAAGGAATAGTATAATAAAATTAATTTCCTTATATCACTTAAATTTCTAACTAGTTTTTTTTTATTTTAACACAACTAAAAAATATACTATTTTCCAAACATTTACTTCTGCAGATTTTGTTTTACATGTTGAAATTACTTAAGGCAACAGGCTTGTACACAGAACATTTTGGGATTCTGATCTGTGAGCCAATACATATTGTGCAAAACACAATCAGCATGAAAAGCACGCTAATGCTATGGGAGTCTGGGGGGCATGCCACTATTTCAAGCCAAAGAATGCTAATGCTTCATCAGAAGAATGTAGACTATGTAGAGAACGTTAAATACTACAAACAGCTGCACTATAGCTATATAAGCATAATTGTTTTACATCACAAAAATAGGTGGTTTGGCCAAAAAAAACCTGTGTACAAGCTTGGACATAAGTGTTAAGCTAGAACAATTCTGTATATCCCCCTGAATTTGAAAAATAATTGTATAGGCACATTTCATGACAAATAGTAATTACAAAAAATTATATTATAATAAAAAAACTTGCATATTGGATGTGATAGCAAGAATATTACAATTAGGCATCATATCTACAATGTGCAGAAGCAGTTGGAAACAGTTATAAAGTTAAAACATTCTCTTCCATTTCATTAATATAAAAACATTTTTGGGACTTTTTTCTTTGATATAAATATTTTGGTTTAATAGCTAATAAAAAATTAATTTTAAAATGCTAGATGGCAATTCTTGCCAGACTTACATGATGTACACAATTCCTCCCCACCCTGATAAGGCATCTCGGTCAAATGCATTAACAAGAGCTTGAGATATTGTCTCAAACAAATCATCAGGTTCCTACAAAAAGGCAAAAACACAACGTTATATTGTATACAAGAACTAGGATCAACAGGTTTAACCCACACTTGCATACAGACCTGTGTGATAGATATGCCACTTTGTTGACCTACTGCAATGGTATCAAATTATTTTGTGCTAAGGGCCATTTAATCATAATGGTCAGAAAGCCACAGATCAAGGTGGCACAAGTGAAAGGCTTTATTTAACTCTTTCATCATGGGCTTGTAACAATTTTGTGGTTGTTATAGTTTTCATGCTATAACTTTTAAATTAGTAAGCGAATGTTAATGAAATTTGGCAAATCATCAGTAAACATTACAATAAGCAAAATATAAATTTTTTTTATTAAGTCTCAAGGTTTGTAAAGCAATATTTTTCTCGTGTCTTTTTTTTGTTTCTTTTCACATGTTGACTATCTATCATGCAAAGTAATTTTTATTTTAAGATTAAAAATACTTTTATGCATCAGATAATTTTCAAATTTCACATGCAAAACCTTTATAATGTCCAGATAGTTATCAAACTTTTCTTAAGAAAAACTTTATATTTTATCTGTTATTTTCTGTAATGAATCTCTGTACGGGTTCGGTAGATTTGACAGATCTTGTAACCAAATTAAAAAAATTAAAAATAAATATAATTTATGCTTCCTTCATTGTAGAATGAACACAATTTATAACACAAAAATATAAATGTTTAGACTAAATAACTTAAATTTCATAACCTTATACATTTATATATATTTATTATTTTTATTATATTGACTTTTCAGCCATGCCTGGCTAACAATACAGAAGTTACAATGATGCAGCACACGTGCACTCATGTTACTGTATCCAATAACATAAAACTGACCTTTGGTCTGTACAAAGTAACTTGTCTTGGCTGTGTTTTAGTAGACTAGTATTTTGTAAAATACAGACACATTACCAGTAATATACATTATATATGTATATAGATTACTGCTATATTGAAATAATTTCTTATATTTATTTAAACTTATTTTTATTAAAACATAGAACAGTAAATAAAGAAGTAAAGTAAACAATTATCTCTTCTAGTTATGACCATTGTAATCGGTTGCTGCTTGACACAGGTTGCTAAGCCTTTAAAATTTTTGCACATGGAAGATATGAACCAAAATTTTGTTTAGGTTTTATATATAGACTTGAATAATTAAAAAATCATAAATTACTACATCAATACCATAGAATTCTACTATAATTTATCAAGCTAGTAACTAAGACATATGTTAGTCTAAAAAAATATGAAATTTTGAGCAGACTAAAGACACCCTACCTCTTTGAAATATTGGTTTAAAAGAAATGGCATCCAAGCCCATTAAAACAGCCGAGAAAGCCACTGGGGGACATTCTGAGCTTCTGATTTGTTATTCATGTTATATATAGAAGTGTATATAAGGGAGCATT